TCTTAAGTCTCCCTTGGCAAAGTGCTCTGCGCCGCCGCCACGTCGTGTCTACCTCCTATGTCGAAATGGGCCTATCCCTTCCTCTCGTGGTGCGCCGTAATGGAGAGTTCCCCATGGGGCTGGGAGGGGAGAGGCGGGGCAAGCAGTCTCTGTTTGGTGCCCCCTACCAGCTGCGGTCAGAGTTGATCAATTGTTTCGTCCAAGCAGCACGTTTTGCCGAATAATACGCCACCGCAATCATGGGAGTCCAGTTAACGATTTTAATTGAAACTTAAACCATTATTGAATATATGCACACAACACCCATAAGAAGATCTTTGGACGACAGTGAGATCGAGCCATCCATGCATATAATCAAACTGCAACAGACCGTTTGATTAGAATCGTGCAGTGATCAGCAGCATAAACTATCATCCATGGAGTAGTTTTAGAGCAAATAAACTGCAACTTTCTGGAATATAACAATAATAGAAGCACCACAGTAGCAACTAAAGGGTTTGATTTCAGTCAAGGAATATAGCATTACTCAATAGCAAAACATGGTGATATTTGTGGAAATAAAATAACTCTAGGTGTTCTATGAATTCTGAAAGTCTGAATCAACTCATGTGCAACTTTTGACGATGGTGCAAATGGAGAGGCATCACAAGATTGGATCCTTATCCTGCTATATAACTGTAGTACAGTTAAAGCAAATAAGCTAAGGAATTGGACAGCAGGATGAAGGTGCACCACACCATCCAATTCTGAAAAGGTGGCGGCTAATGGTCTTCCTTGTTGAATCCATAAGGACTATGCTTTTCTATCCTTGAACTAAACTGAAACTCGAGCTCTAAAATCTGAACGAAAAAACTTGATTTCTTGGAAGGAGGGTCACTGCTCCAAATCGTGTTGCCTCGCCCGTACATCACCGAAGCTGGGGCACACATTGGAGCAGTGGCATTTGCGACGCCCAGCAGCGGGGTCACATCTCATCCCCATCAGCTCAAATCAAAACAGAACGCAAATTAGCCCAAACAGTTAGAAGACTTATTTAAACCGCACATGGTGCACTCAGACATAAGAGAAGACCCAAGCAGAGCGATCAAGCCATGCAATTCTAGTTATTAAAATACTAATTAGTTATTGTATCTAGACGGACAGTCTTATGTAAAACGTTTAGATTTACGTAGTAGTTTGCAAGGAGCATATACATACTATTTTTCAAATGGGGTGTATACAAGTATACAACTGATACTACTTTAACTGAAAACATCAGAGAGCATGTTTTAATTCATTCATGATCTCTGCATTTTATTTAGAAACAAGCATGCACCAAGATACTCACATAGAGAGCAGAATCCTCTCTTTCACAGTACTATTGTTTCATCTAGCTCTAACATATCCTCTCTTTCTCCCTTTTAATAAGTAGTATAGTTGATGCTATACAGACTTAAGAAGTAAGTAGTTGATGACAGATACAAAGCGATGACACTGTAGTATGTACCTCAGGTCAGACGAAGTTTCGGCGGATAGTAGAGTATGTGCAGACAGATTTCCGGCGAAGTCGGCGGTGTACAGCCACGGCGCTGTCGGAAACTTGAGGCGTGAAGATGAGCCAAATAACTGCAGATTATTCCAGAGAGTTAGAACACGAAAAACTATTTGACCTTGCAATAGAATAGAAAGGGTTCGGCGATGTGCACATCTCTCTCTCTCTCTCTCTCTCTCTCTCTCTCTCTCTACCTCACCTCTTTTTTCACCACAAGTTACAAAACCAAATAACTGAATTTTTTGGCCCTGTACATCATTTAAAGATTAAAAGAAACTCAAATCCAAGATCAGTTGTCGTTCATGACCTCTGCATTTTATACAGAAACAAGAATGCACCAAGATACTCACATAGAAAGCAGAATCCTCTGTTTCACAGGGCTATTGTTTCATCTATCTCTAACATATCATCTATTTCTCCCTTTTAATAAGTAGTATAGTTGACGACATACATACTTAAGAAGTAAGTAGTTGATGACAGATACAAATTGATGACACTGTAGTATGTACCTCAGGTCAGACAAAGTTTCGGCGGACAGTAGAGTATGTGCAGAAGGATTTCCGGCGAAGTCGACGGTGTACAGCCACGGCGCTGTTGGAAACTTGAGGCGCGACGATGAACCAAATAACTGCAGACTATCCCAAAGAGTTAGAACACGAAAAAACTATTTGACCTTGCAATAGAATGGAAAGGGTTCGGTGATGTGCACGGTCATATGCATGAAAGCATCGAATTTGTTTACATGTAACATCAGGAGTATATACATGTAGTCGCCTCCAAAATTGACCATATGAGCTTTCAAATGAAAGGACAAAAATGAAAAAGGAACATATAAGAAATGTGAGTTATATAGTATTTTATTACCAACATGGCATCACTCAAAGATAATACTTGTCAAAGAACAGCTTGATCAGGCACAAAGACCTAGACATGTGAAAGAGAAGGGAATCAATACATAAAATTTAACCTGAATCTACCTCAACCATGAGCAAGTACGAGCACTGCTCCTTGCCTTGAGTAAGTGCTTGCTCTGGCTTAGTTTGCCCCAGCACAACAGAGATCAATTCCCTGGATGGCATATATTTAATATACGTTCTCCTCCTAGTACTAAAAATAGGACTACATGGCTTCCTAGCGAGTTAAAGCTAACAGAGATCAGAGAGCAAACTAATTTCACCAATTTATCACTGTAATCTCTATTGAATGCAACACTTTGCCACATCTTGTATTATCTATATGGCATTGCTAAAGTGATTCTAATCTGAAAAAAGAATAAAAAAATCCAACTTTGCCATGTTAAACAGCATCCATAGTATTGCATGATGTAGTGACCCAAAATTAGTAGCACTATAATTGGATGGTTCAAACTCATGTGCCAGATGTCCTAAAAGTTCAGACTTGTATTCACAAAATAAGGAAATTCAACAATATATCTTCAAATGTAACTATGGATGGATTGAACAACCAAATTGCTACCTGATAGAGCAAAATTCCATATGCTTTCTGTTTTTTAAACCGAGTTCGAGGTGGATTCCATATTCTAACTGCACTTTACGGGAATGGATCTACAATCATATTAAGAGATTCCCTTCATCTTGAGCTGGTGCTTCAGCTGTTGGAACACTTAAGCTCAGATCTTCGGTATGATTTTCTTTAAGTGTAGGATCGAACAAAACCTACATGATAGATTGCTTACATTTATTAATAATCAATCAAGCAATTTTCTTGCACGGATAACACTATGTCATGAAATGTATTGCTGCTATATTTTCGTTCAGTTTTTGTAATAAGATAAAGTACTTAAATGATCTGCCAAGGAATAAACCAAATCAACAGCGACTCTATGGTCTAATTATCAGCTCTACACAATTAATAATACAAATAGAACTCTGGTACTAATTCTACAGAAAAGATACACCAAATACATTATCAGTCAGGTTCAGTACCAAGACCATTTTAGACATCTAAACATATTTATAGTATAGCGATATAGCTGCAGGTGTAAAGCGTGAAAATTCTCGATGGTACAAACTGTAAGCTGACAAATTGTCGATGCAATGTAGGTGCCAAATAAGTGTTGGCGTCATACCACAGTGCACTGACACAAAGCATAAAAGGAGAATAACATATTAACATTTCATTGTTGTACCAAAGAACAGACCATAGCTTCACAGCTAAGATTAATGCAGTAGTAGCACTACAATGACTTGTCAATAGTGACCTCGCACACACTGGCATTTTTACTGTAACTATTTTATGAGCTTGCAAATAAAAGCACAAAAATGAGAAGGGAACAAAAATGAAAATAGCACATATATACACTATTTATGTTTTGAAGGATACCAGTTCACAAATAAAAAATACATCTGTTCATGGACTATTTGGCGCAGTAGCAGAATTTTGTTTAAAAAATGGACTTGTGCTAATGGGAGAGATAGAGAGCAGATGGGGATTGCTTGCCCTATCTTGGTGCAGCAGAGGCATCATCCGAGGTGAGGAGGTGCTGCTGGCTAGGGTTCCTTCCTGCCCTTGACGGCAGCGAGCGTGGTGGATGGGGAAATCCCATGGCGTGCTCCATCTGCATCTGCAACAGAGGATATGAAGAGAAGGTGAGATGTAGGGGTGGAGGATCCCGGCCAAGAAAGGGGAAGGAGGGATGAACCTGGGGCCGCCGGAGACGGGCCGGCGAAGCACTGCCCGAAACCCTAGCCACGGGGGTGTGGTTGCGAGCGGGCAGTAGAGGCCGGGAGCGGAGAATCTGGACGGAGGGGAGGGAGGCGCGGAGCTTGGGGGGCTCGGGGGCGTGCTGTGCGGCGCTGGAGCTCGCCGAAAGCGGCCGGCGTGGGCGGCGGCGGCGGCGGCGACTTCATGGGCGAGAGGGAGAGGAGGTGAGCCCGTGCGTGTGTGGTTGTGTTTTTTTTTCTTTACAAATCTGCTCAGACCGCGCGTTGAATACTCTGAACGCCAGGGTGTTTTGTGCAAAAACGAAACGTTTTCTCAGATATCCACTTAAGATAGGACTGCGGGTTGAATTCTCACAAACAAAGGGGCTTTTTTGTAAAACGACCATGACGGACGACCAGAAGCACTCCGTGCTTTATTAGTAGGGAAAGATACATACATACATATATATATATATATATATATATATATATAGGTAAAGATAAAGAGGTAAAGATAAAGATAAAGATTTTAAGTCACATACCACGAAAGTCTCGACAAGGATTATGGAGAAAACACCACTACAATTCCACTCTTCAACTTCTTTTTCAGTCAATTTCTTCCGCCTTGCTAACGAAATAACAAATCCCTAAAAGGTAGAACTACAATAACCGTGTGACACACCGGCACACCTCCAGTTTGATTGGTCCACAACGAGGAGTCCAAAAATACCAAAGCACACAGCCATGCAAGAAACAGGTTTTGTTCGAAACCATCTATATCAACATGAGAGAGCACAGCAATGGGTTTAAAGCTCGACGGCGCACGAAGCTGATGATGGCTTCCCCCTGCCCATGGCGAAACCACGAGTGCCATCAGGCATTCGTGGGCCAGGTGGCTGTTTGTTTGCCACAGGTAGTAGCTGCTCGACCATGATAAGCTGGGTGTTCGGTGGTGTCCCAACTGGATGGCTGCCACGACTGTTGATAACCTGGTGATGGTTGCTGCCATTGTGAATGTGATGATGATAGTTGTTCAGTTGATGGTAGCCACGGCCTCGGCCTTTACCGCAACACCCACGGCCTTTGCCATGCTTTGGACCTTGCTTGTCACTGTTCTCATCAAACTGCACAATATCAGGGTGGTAAGGTACTGAAATTCAATAATCCTGACTTCCTGGCGTCTAAGTTAGTTTGGAAGAATAATATTTCTGGGGTTTAGATGATCACGCTTTTACCTCACATCCAAGTGAGACTTAATTTTAAATAAGCATGTGATGTGTCAAGTAGATTACAGCAAGATTTCTTACCAGGTGCTCTGGCAATACATCTGCCAGTTGAAAGGATCCTTCAAGCTGTCTCTCGTTTGATTGGTTTGAAGTGGAGACGTCGTCCTCACCATTTCCATCACCTTCATGCCCTCCCGTTTTCCCTTTTACTGGACCCTTTGTCTACACCCAAATCATGCCAAAAAAATATTAATACCGAATGCCGAAACATCATATTTATAGGTTACATTGAGATTACTCCCTCCGATCCATAATACGCGCCGTGGTTTTAGTTCAAATTTGAACTAAAACCACGACACTTATTATGGATCGGAGGGAGTAGATAGCAACCCATGTGTCGTGGTTTTAGTTCAAATTTGAACTAAAACCACACTTATTATGGATCGGAGGGAGTAGATAGCAATCCATGACATACTGACATACTGACATACATATTTGATATACTCCTTTTGCAGCAGTTACTACATAGATTTTGTGAAACAACAAGCATCAAGTATATTGACGTTCACTACTGATACCCAAATAGAGAACACAACTTGTAATAGTTGATTACAGATGGTGACGAGGTTGTTGACACAATAGTAAGTCATTGGCAAGCAAAGCAAAACTATCATTTTGTATCTATATATCAGCAAAAGCAAAACTAATTGCTGAGGCCGATTTGAAGACACTAGGGCACAACAAGTACACACAATCTAAAGAAGCTTTTAACCGAGTATATCAGCTTATGACTTATATATTATATGACAGATAAACACAAGTGCACATATTAACATTAAATATATCAGTGGTCAACTAGAGACAATATATGAATAGTCGATCCCAGTATGTGTGTCTACCATGCAAGTATTCAGCAGCCGTGATCTAAGCCCATTTCTCCAGTTCCTTTCATCATTCAGCTCCAGAATCTGCATCAAATCAACCAACATCAAGGCAAAACACAGCACAAACATTGTGCTTCGGAATTCAAAATCATGTAGTACATACTGCCTTCTCAGCATCCTCATGAGTCTCATACTCCACAAAAGCATGCAGCTAGTTCCAACGAAAAATACAATTTGTTAGCAAGGGAATGAATATGAGCTACTGCAAACGCAAAAGTATATATAAAACTATTGGAAACATGACAGATTTTCAAATAATAAACATATTGCACCTTTTCAATTGTTGACTATATTGAAACAACCAAATGAGACCTCTGGATGCCTACGTCAAATTCTGTATGACCCATTAGGTGGACTGGAAGATCTTACGGCTTAGTATTGTGAATCTGTGAGGCCATGCAAGTGAAACATATGGACACTGTTTGTCCAGATTACTCTGTGGCCAGTGTTGTAAATGCACACTAGAACAATCCCTGACAACAAAAGGGAGGTCTTTAGTCCATTTGATTAGATTGATCAGGGCTATTGTAAGTGGCATTTTAAACCTTTTTACTACAGATCTATCTGCTGAGAGATATCTAGGATTTTAACATATCTGACAACTTATGCAATTTCATGGGTTTCAGAGACACTTATATTCATAGTACCTAAACTCGTATTTGGCTCATTAAAGTGAGACTCGCCTTTGTACACTTTCGCACCGCTTCGACTAGACCCCGCTACTACCTCGTATCCAAATACCTGCGATCTAGCTCATTCCTTTTAAGCCCGATTTTTTTTCAAAAGAGACCACCTGCCGAACAGAATTGTCAAAAAAGACCTCCTCCGAATGAAAGTGACAAAAAGGACCCCCTCGGCCGTGGCGGCAGGCTATGTTTTTAAGGCGACGCCTTACCGCCTTAGGGAGGGGGGGCGCTTTGGCGCCTAGGCGACGCCTAGGCGGGCGCTTTGGACGCCTAGGCGCCCAAAGCGGTCGATTTTCCAAAGCGGAGGGGGAGCGCTTCGACGCCTAGGCGTCGCCTTAGGGACGCTTTAAAAACATAGGCGGCAGTCACGCCGGGCGACACGTGGCACCTGCCGCCACGGTGCCAGGCGGCAGGCTCGGCATAACCGCAAAAGGTTGGCGCGACGGAACGGGCTGGCTATGTGGGCCCCCGCCGCCTCAGGGGCTGGCGGCAGGACTGTGCCGGTGGGCCTGGCCGCCTCTCTAGCTGGCGGCAGGTCTCTGCATGCGCGCTACGGTGCCGCTCGTCTAAGACCAGTACGGACTAAGGAAGGAATTGAAAAAGGCAACTCCTCCTTAGTAGGAATAGTAGCTGAGGCTGCTTCAACTCATAACAAAGCTATTCCAAAACATAAGTCCAGGATGATCTGAGGTCACTGGTCTCACATGGAAGAGATACAAATCAGAATATGTAACATGAGCGTTGTGGGATGCCTCAATTTGCAAAAACAATTATGTCTTTTTTTGTACTCGTGTGTGCCAACTGTATTAACTGTAAACCACATACTTCCTCCGTCCGAGTTTATTGGGCCCAAGAGCCACCAAAGATTGTCCCTATTTTTAAGTCCCCAATATAATACCAAGTCAGTTATGCCCCGGTTTCCCGAGTCGCTCCATGGAACGCAGCGCACGGTCCTATTTGATTGGACATGCATGCCGTAGCCAATGCATGCGTTGGGGGTGGTTAGCATCCCTAATTAATAGGGCGATTACAGGGTAATTTAGGAGATTTATTGCTCTTCCTTGATCTTTGCGCTTTGGCTCTCGGGCCCAATAAACCCGGGCAGAGGGAATAATTGTTTGGTTCTTTTCTAGGTTTTAGACATTGACACAAATTATGCAATATGAACATGTTTAAAGACAGTTATGAAGAAGAAAACGACGTGTCCTGATGAAGGATTTGGAGGTATAATATAGAGAAAAAAAAGGATTTGGAGGTGATTACAGAGCTAAGCTTCAAGTACGTATATGTATTGGTGATTGATAAAACTAACAGCTTAGATAATTGCAGTATGTATAATGCAATTGCTTATTCAAGTTGCTTCATTTTCAGCTTTTCACAATGTTGCTACTTGATGAAATTTATGCACCCTTCTGTATTCAATGTCAGGTAATACACAAAGGGCGTAGCCATCACACAGGGATGGGAACTTAGGTTGTATGAACTTGGCAGCATCATATCAGCTTAAGTTTTAGATGTTAAAAGGATTACGGGTCGAACAACTAGTCTAGTAGAGTCTCAAGCTGATTGTCGACTAGGTTCTTCGTGTACACTAGCTCTGTGAGTTAAGGGGTGGAGCGACTAGTCGTGGACTAGTCCAGACTTGTCAACGTGCTTTGAGTCGATCGGCTCAAATTTGGAGGGATAAGTGTAAGTGCATCTAGTGCCACCCTTTGTTGGTTTTCGAGTATTGACAAACTTGGTTAAGGGACTAATGTGTTTGCGAGATTACAGGAGAAGACAGGTAGAAGTCCCTAGAGATTCGGTTTGCCCATCAAAGATGACCCCTAAAAATGTATGAAGACATTGAAGATAATGGCGGTACGCGAAGACATTTGTTTGAAGACAACGGAACGCAAAGACTTTCGCCTGAAGACAATGGAGCGCGAAGACACAGTCTTCTGGTAGTTTTATTTTCTTTCTTGTCATAGAAACCACCATACTGTTAAGTGGGGTCGAGGTAAACAAAGTCAGAAACTTACGTGATGCTCAACCTAAAATCCTAAGTCTTCAGTGACGACAATGAGAGAAAACCTCTTCCAGAGTTGGTTGAGCTCAAGTAAAGCTGCCGCATGTGTTTGAAATCCGACCGCTGGACACGTGTCGGTTGGCCAATGACCCAGGTCATTTCGGTCATATCATGTCGGGTTGCCTCCTGGCTATAAATAGCCCACCCCCTCCACCATAAGTTGGTGGCTGCTCCGAGTTATTACACGGCTATTGTCGTTTGAAAGGAACCCACCTCCAAAGCCTTTGAGAGAGATTCCTTGCAAGGTTAAACCCAAAATACCCAGAGCCCTGATGCCTTTCTGTTCCGCGTGAACCAAAGACTTGTTACACTTGAAGACTGTCATCTTCCAGCCGGTTTCTGAGCATCCAAGAGTCATTGTGGATTGCCGGTGAACAAGTCTGTGAAGGTTTGGAAATCTTCCTTAAAGACTTACCCGAGTGATTTGGCGAGATTTCCAGATCTTAGCTCAAGGGGAATAAGATGAAGACTAGGTCTTCAGAGTTCAATCTCAGCCTCCCTAACCAGACGTACAGCTGTCACAAACAGCCTATGTTTTTAAGGCGGTAAGGCGAGGCGAGGCGCTGGGGGGGGGGGCGCCTCACTGCCTAAGCGCTAAGGCATAAGGCGAGGCGACGCCTTAGAGACTTGTAAGCAACAGAATTAAGTAGAATTTGGTAGGCATTAGGCAACTAGGCATACAGCCATACACACCTTGCAACTGATGGTTGTAGAGCCCATATAGTTCTGGAGAGGATGGAGAATCTGCAGGAGAGGATGGAGAATCTGCAGGAGAGGAGGAGGAGGAACTGCAGGAGAGGAGGGGGAGGGGGATCTGCCGGAGAGGAGGGGGAAGCTGCTAGAGAGGAGG